CAGAGCTTGATCGATCTTGTCAGATAATATTGAGGAAAAAGAAAATCTTAAATCAAACTTCAGGTGAAGTAGAGTTGTGGGTTTACAAATATTGCCTTAGAAATGATTTAGAATGGGGACACAACTTTACCACTTTCAAAGTGATAAAGATAGAAAGGTGGTGGCCTCGTAGAATCGAATTTGGGTGTTTTCAGACCAAAGACAGTAGTTTAAGTTCCTGGCAAACAGGAAATATTACGCAATGGTATCAAAGATTATCAAGAGGGAGGGAACGAAGAGATGTTTGCCCGACCCCCCCTCCTAACACAACACTAAAATATGATTCCTTGTCCATGATAGGAGAGAGTCACATGTGGCAGAAAGTAAAAGATAATGTGATTAAATGGTTATCAAAAGTACCCCCTGCAATGTCTGATCCCCTGGCTGAGGCAGAGGAAGGTGAAGAGACCGTTCCTCTCTTTCTAGAGCTCGGTGTGCGGGGTAAGAGATCTACTTCAGACTTAGCTCGACTCTTACGTAAAGGTCATAGTGAATATGCAAACTACACAGGATATCAGAATTATATACTTCCCAATAATAGTACATATTTTAACTGGACATTTTTCTGCCTCCATAATGAGGTAGGCCTTCAGCCTCAAGGATGGGAACTGCATCCAATAAGACACACTCTTTATACAGAATGGGTTTATGAGGTTCCTAATTTTAAACACCCAAAAGTAGTGCAATGGATGAAAAAGGATCAATCTGATCCCACTAACTTAGATACAGGATTTCATGCATGGAATGAGGAAACTAGACTCTGTTTAACCAGGAAAGCGAATAATAGCGCTGTATGGCAAGGAGGCGAGCCACTTAGAATAAGGATCGCAGGAGCATATTATCAAAAACGTGCAGCTACTCCTGATAGTATAATTGAGGCAGACTCCATCTTCGAAGCAGTAAATGAAATGATTAGACCAACCCATAAGAAAGATTTTTATCACAGTCCCACATGGGCTAGAAATTACACCTTAATGCTTGAAGGATGTCAGGTGGAAGTCTGTAATAATACTAAAGGGTTAACTAGAAGGATGTGTATTTTTTGGTATTCACAACTATATGGATTAACAGTTGGAGGTCTGCGTCCAGACACATTAGGAGATCGAGAGTTTTTTAAACCTAGGCCTCCTTATCTAAACATAGCTACTTTAGGAACTGGAGAATTATGCTATAAAGTCTTACGTGGTTATATGCAAAGAGATATTCCAGAAGATTATAGATATTATAGAAAAGGAATGTACGAGACATATCCTATGACATACTGGTATGGAGAGGGATATAATAAGCAAAAATATGATTATTACCCCCAGGACACAAGGATTGAAGCAGAAACCTTTGAAAGAAAATTAGTGGGAACTAAAACTCTTGTGATGGAACATGGTCAACTTCGAGTTAAAACAAATTGGTTTTCTATTGATAAAACAAATACTTGGGAAGTAAATGATACAAAAACAGGAAATGGTCTTTTAGATCGTATAATGATTATGAATGATAAAGTTGGAGACTTAGTGCCACCTGGATTTACAGCGCCAGGAACGACGAAATGGGGAGCGTTTAGTCTGGTCAATTTCAATTACCTTAACGGGTTAGGCATAGACCATCATGTGTGTTTTAATGAACCGAGAATAGGGAAAAATCCTCAACCTGAAAGATTCACAATTGACCCTGATGCACCCAAAGAGTTTCCTAACTTCAGAAATTTCCCAAATTGGGATCTGAGAAGTGGTTTTTGCTCACCATTTCGAAGATCGTTAGATCAGCAAAAAGCCGACTGGTTTGATTATTTTGCATATGGCATAAATGGCACATTACGTCATGTGAGTCTGATAGTACGTGGTGTGAATGAAATTATGAGTGACAGTGTAGTGCAGGTTTCTAACAATGTAATTCAAGGAACTTCTGATTCAATGGGCATGTTGGTAAAAGGAGTGAGAGAGCACATCATTAGGCCTGTCTGGGACGCTCTGTTCTGGCCTCTGTGCGCTCTAGGATTGATGTGTGGGGTGATTATTTTAATAATCGGTATGATTTTGGCCTGTAAAAACAACAAGTGGCAGTTGACAGGAAGAAAGCTGTTAGGAGAAAGGAGAAAGGACCTGGTAGATCCAGATAAGATGGGAAAAGAGGTTTCAAGGTAGAGGGAGTATTAGCCCCCCTTCTTGTTGCTCCTGTTTAAGTGCAGGCCTCTCTGCACCGCGTGTCACTTGCTCCTTAACTGTCAGTCTGTAACTTGAAGTGAACCAATGGCTCATCAAACTCACCCTGAATCTGAGCTGATTGACGCTCTGAATCTGGAGGTATGTCAGGATTTTGTAACTATTTTATCCAGTTTGTCTTTAAGATGTTGTAGACATTTCATAACTGGTGTACACTTGTTGTGAGGATTATTGTTGTAAAACTATGCCTGCAGATAGGAATTGTAGTGTGGTTCTTCCTGCAGCTTCTGATGATTTATTTTCTCCTATAATTAAGAAGTGTTTATGCAGTAATGCAGTTACTTATTGCTTCATGGAATGAGTTATATATCTCATGTGGAACATATTTTATGTTCCTTCCAGATGGACTCGATTCGGCAGAATATCATAGAGGGATTAATCCCCTCCGCAGGTCCATCAACTGTTTTCTCTCTGAATGGCGCATACTATTTGTGCACCGTGAATCGCGGGAGGGATGGATTGCCTCAGACTAAGACAATCGGGCTCCAGTGTGAACATGCTACAATGAATAAACGCTGCGTGTCTTGCAGGTTTATTCAGTACATCCAGACCAAATGGAAAAGGGATTCAAGCGGGAGACTGATCAGGAAGACGACATACTAATGTTGTCCTCCCCGGGAGTAGATGCCCTGCTTGAGCAGGCCCACGACGAGGAGCTGACAACGGCGCCCTCATCTGACGTGGCTGAAGAGGTTGTATCAGTAATGACGGCAGCTTCGACATGCGTCCCTTGTCCTGATGTGATACGTGAAATCCCTATGGTCTGTCTAAGTAGTGAGCCAGCAGGCATTCCTCCCCCTGTCCGAATTGCACCTGGGAGAGAAATGAGATGGAGGATTAAATCCCAGAAGGGGCGTTACTTTGTTTGTCAAGGCAAGATTATAGATTGCTTTCAGTTTATGAATATTTTGTCTGTAAAGACTGGATGGTTCGGCCCAGAAGTCTGTGACTCTTTTGGGACCGCACCTTTGTTGGATACGAAAAATCATGTTTTGGTTTTCAGCGCCAGCTTCCCACCTCAAATGATGGGATCGCTTCCACGTGGAGAAGCTCCGGTGATGGATTTATCTTTATTCTTTTTGGGCGAAGATCCCACAGATGGGAGAAAGCAGTTTAAAGGTTATGTAACAACCCGCAGAGGGACCTTGTGCTTACCCGTAGCTGATGATGGCATTATGATGAGAATGAGGGTTGATGTGGAGGCCACAGTTAGGTGTCTGAGTGTTCAGCCGTTCCTGAGTGAGATGGATGCTAGATTTATGAAAGCTTGCATTGCTGCTCTATCTTTTTATGGTCCTTTGCCTCAGTACGTCCTCATGGGGGATGTTGCAAGCCCGAGCAACCAGTCAAGGCTTAGAAACAGTGGTCAGAGACAAGGGTCACACAAGGGTCAAGAGGACAGGAGTTCAGGACTTGCTGGTGAGGACAGAACTAGGCAAAGGGTCAAAAGACAAGCTGTCTTCTCTAGATCCACCCATGGACACACCCCTGGGCCCGCCCCTAACTCCACCTCTGGCGGGAAAAGAAGGAATGGCATGGAGTGAGGAGAAGTCCAGCTGGACCCAGGAGCTCTCAGGAATGCTGGAGGAAGATCTACAATTTGCTACCAATATGAAGATTTATGACCTGTGCTCTCATTCCAGGAGTGCAGAATGTAACTTTTGTGCCCTCATGTGAATACTGCATGTAGTGAAATGATACTAAATGTCTTATGTAGAGCTAAAAAAGTGTATCTGGTGAATGACCCCTTGACCTAAACTGTCAGGAGAGAATGACTTGTGCCTCTTGCATTGTTTAGAGCAGTCTCAGAAATGATATAAAAGGATGCAGCTCAGATCGAGCAGGGGTCTTGTTCTTCAGTTCTTGGGGAGATTCTGAGAAGACAAGAGCTGGTGTAATTTGACTCTTATTTATTCATTTTGAACTAATTCCTCCGTGGGGGATAGTAGTTGTTTTTCACTTTACCCATTTTTGTATTTTGATTTTGCAATAAAACTTTTTTGAAAAAGAAACATAATCCTGATTCTTTCAGGTTTTCTCTAAAGCTTCACGTTTGGAGCCCTGGCCATAATTGCACAGAGGTAAGCATGTCGAAGATCGGTCTCTGAATTATCAGGACTTACTTTACAGTTTATAACAGAATAATATAAAGAAACCTTAAGATAAGGGAAGTTTTAATTTCTCTCCCCTTGCGAGTAACGAGTTGTCTTAAGGGTGATAAAAGCAAAATATTCGAGGTTATTTTGGCTCTGATTGCAGGTTGAAAAAGTCTCTAATCAGCTGGAAGGTTGGATTAATAAATAAATTGATAAACTTATGTTAGCCTGATCAACTAGCATAAATCATTTTATAGTTACCAACCTCCCACATAAGCTGTTAGGGGCGCAATTAATTCCGGGTAGCCCAAACAATTGCTGAGAGGCTTGGCTTGCCTCCAGACTTCTCTCTAGTATCTTAACCAAAAGGTAACGAGTTTAAAAGAAGTGTAGCACTCTGAGGCTGGCTATTCGTGCAAGTCATTTCACCTTTAAAATAAAAGACAAGATTCTAATTAGGTAGTCCAAACCCGGGTCTGGTACGATTATACTCGTCGATACACCCCCGAACCCTGATGGATGCACCGTCTCATAAGTTCTAACGGAACTGGGTTTTAAAGGAACCGGTAAATGGGACGGGCACACGACAAAAGTAAAGTGATCACAGCTGGAGGGAACCTGTTTTTTTAGACAAACTCAGGCTCCACACCGGAAGCTGCCTCACCGCCCTGTTCTCCAGCGCCCCGAGGACCTGCATGGCTGAAGCAAAGTTCCTCGCGTCATAGCAGAACTTTCCCATGCACAGATACCTGGTCAGCAAGGCAACCTGTGTCTGCCGGAGGAAGGAGTCACAGATGCTGATTGGATTCAAACAGCTTTCAGCTTTACATGGATACAGCAGATGTTTTTGAACCAATCGGAGATGAGCTCTTCAGTCAAGAGTTATGTCTCCTCTCACCTTGACAGAATCACAGGTGAGGATTGCAGCAGAGATCCAGTTGGAGACCCGGTCAGCGTACGCGAGGAGCTGCTGAGGGTCTGATGGTGTCCTCAAGGGCACTGCTGCTCTCTGCTGGTGGGAGGTGCTGCCATACATTCCTGGTGGGAGAACACAAATACTACTCCATACTTCACTGTTGCTGTCCTCCATGATGGACCTGCGTGATCAGGTGACATAGGTGCCAAGGGTCAAGTGTGACTGGATGAGTGAAAAAGCAGTCCCAGCCCACTGCTGAGAGCCGACCATTCCCATTTTGCTCATAAATGAAGGAAAGTGTGATTCCTGCACACAAATTGATGGAAACCTGAAGATTCTTCTGTAGAGGAAACGAGGGTCATGACGAACCATTAAGTTTACTAATGAATGAAATCCATGTCTTTGTCCTCCAGAGCTTCTAAATCCCAACTAAAGCAGAACAGAATCTGAGTTTTTTTTTATCTCTGTCAAAGGGAAGAAGCCCCTTTGACATCATCGAGACTCACCTGTTCGGGCTCAGGGCGCTGACCCTGACTCTTTGCCTTCTGGATTTCAGGAAACAAACCGGATGGCATTCCTGTAATATTTCCTGTGTAACAAGTCACATGTTGACAAACATTGGCTCCATACTTATGGAGACATGTCTCCCTCTGGTGGTTGAAGCAGTTTATGACATCCAGTCCAGAAGGCTGAACACACCTGCTGCAGAAGGGCAAGCTGCTGGGCGGTGTGCTGTGGAGAGCGGCCAGTTTTATTCAGAGACCGTAAACACACTTCACATTAATTCAGAAAGGCAGGTTTAGTTAATACAAATGAATTTATTTCTATTTTCCTTAACTAATGATTACATGACCAGGTATGAATGGAATGATGGAATGGAAGCTAGATGTTTTAGCAAAACCTTTCTTAAGTATCTGAGAAAGTTTGTGGAGTCTGGGTTGTAACATTAATTTGGCTGTACGATTTGATAAGCTAAACTTTATTTATAAAACCACCCAATGCCAGTATGCAGTGTCTACGATACCCTTGTGTCACTCCCAGCAGTCCAAAGGAACGGCGACCCGAGTGGTGATGTCATCAGACGTCGAGACCACGAGAACCCAAAGAGTCATTGTGAATTCAGCTTTCACCGGCTATGATATGCAACGAGGGTCTGCAGACTAGAATGTCTATCTGAGGTGTTGGGTGGCTCTTATAAGAGCCGTCGTGCCTGAAATCACCCACAAGCGTTGCAGAGAGACTTTGACCTTGAGGTCAAAAGAGAGGATGGTTCCAAATTCTTGCTCACCAATTTGGCTGGACCGGGATCACCTCTCTTACTTATAAACTTGGACAAATCAGAATTCAGCACGTTTGAAGGCATTACCAAAACACCTGAGAATTCACTCCTTCCCTCAGATCCAAAGATGGGTTAACTTTGTGAAGCGGAATTTTTTTTAACAGCTATGTGAAGCAAAATGTTGAACATTAATAATACTCTTATTATAATGTGTATAATGTATACTGATAGATTAACTTGTCAAATCAACACACACTGATCTGGAGTAGAAAAGATCTGAGATAATCATTACAGGAACAGCCATCATGGATTAAAGCACAGATTATTCAAACACTTTAAGGGTTAAGCATCTCTTTCTTTCAACACATTCGATTATTTCCACCTGTAAGTTGTAAAGTTACTGATGAACTTTAATCAAGATGAACTTAATTCAGAGTAATGATGCAGGAGTCTCTTCTGCATGAGGCCTTGGCTGAAGATGTCTTCTTGTACGGTAACAAGGTCTGGTGCGGAGCTCTCTGGGTTGGTGGCCAGACAGATGCGTGTGTCTGCAAAGTAAAAGTTACTTTCTGCTCATTTTTTATATTGAAAAATGACATCAGTCGTGTTCTTGGTTTAAACCTGATGGCTCGACTAAGTCTCAGATCGATTTCTGGTTGATCTCTGCTGATTTTATGCTTCATAATGTGGACACTGGTATATCAGCTGCACCCTAACTGATGACTGTTTGATGTTACATAATATTAAACCGCAAATTAACACATTTTATAATAAAGGTTACTGGAAATTTAACTCAACCCTACTCCACAATGACTATTTTAATAAGAAATTACTGAACAACTAAAAAGCACTCTTACTGATGAAAGTATTCAATCGTATACAGAATAATGGAAATTATTCAAGTTCAAAGTTCACAAAATATCAATTAAACACAGTGAGCTAATAGCCACCATTAAAAACCTAAATGAGACAGAAATGATCCAAGAACTTGTATTTAATGAGGATGACAAATGCCGAAAAAAATAACACTCTACAAACCTCTGGGTGGCATTTATGTCCACAAAGCCAAAGGAGCTTATCTAAGATCTCAAGCCAAACAGGTAGAAGAGGGTAAGAAAAGCACTACATATTTCTGTAGATTAGAAAAGACAAGAATAAAATGCTATAAATACTTTGCAAATGAATGGTCAACTATGTACAGACCCTAAATTAATCTGTAAAGAAATTTTTCATTTTTACAGCATGTTTTACAGCTTGTTCCTCATCAAAACATCAAATGAGACTTTTTTTCAACCCATTCAACACTTATAACCCCTATAACTGATTAAAGCATGTGAGGCAGATTTTACCATAGAAGAGCTGCTAATGGTAAAGCCCCAGGCTGTGATGGCCTCACAAGTAATTTTTACAAACACTTTTGGATTCTTAATAGAAAATTAATTTTTGAAATGTTTAAGGAGCTGATATAGAATGGCTCTCTCACACATACTATGAAACAAGGGTGATTACTCTTATTCCTGAAGCAGGTAAAGAGTGAACTCATCACTGTTCAACAATGATTACCCACATCTCTGGTATTAGATTAAAATCCTCGGGGCTCGGGGTTTGGGGGTGGCCGGCCCCATGTGGAGATCTGGGCGGGGCCTTGGAGGTCGGGTCCTGACAAGTGTGCTGCCGGGAAGAAGGCAGGAACACGCAGCAGTGCCTGGCCCGGGCTCAGGGGCCTCAGGTAGACCTTGGCTCCTCTACCGTTCCATCACAGGGGAGGGGGAGGTCCAGGAGGGGGAGGACTCAACCTTACTTGGATGTCCCATGTCTTATATATTCTGGAAGTTGTGCAAATGCAGGGATGGGCATAGATATTCTGCTGGGGTGGGGCTGGGTTGGTGCCCTCGGACTCCGTAGGGCTCTGTAATGCTGCTGCTTTGGGCCCTGGTAGGATGGGCTGAGGTCTCCATGCCCTGGGTGGCGGTTTGACAACAGAGGTGCCTATTGGGGCCAGTAGGGGAGCTGGCTCCCTGGAGGGCTAAGCCCAATCAGCCATTTCTCCCCATCCCCGCATATTTCTCTCCTCCTGCTCCCTCACATCATCACACAAATACACATAGGACCTTGGGGGTGGGCAAGTCAGGGAGTGCGGGTATGGACCCCATTTCCGCTTTCCTGTGGCAACCTGTCCCCCAATTTTATTTGCACCTTATACACTTCCACTGACGACATTCCACACAAACACACACTTAGGGCCTTGGGAGTGAGCACATTCAACGGCATTTGGCAGGGGGATATCTCAGCCTCCTCCTGGGTGCCGGTGCCCACTTCCAATATTAAACCGCACTTAGACACTGATGGCTGAGGGTGTAAGTGGGGTGGTGCGGTGGCATCAGCTGGCATAGGCCGGATGATGCCCGCAATGCCCACTCACCACAGCCATGGAATACACCTCATGATCACACAACACTATATTGGAGCAGGCGGAGGGAGACTAGGGGCCTTAGCCACCTCTGTTGTTGCTTGGCTTCCTGGGGCTGGAGGCTAGGAGAGAGATCTGGCTGTCTGGTTGGGGTCTGGGGTGGTAGGTTGCTGTGCTCAGCATTGGGCGGGGGAGCCTGCTCATCAGTACCCCAGCAGAAAGGGTAAAGCTCTGGTTACCGGTGATGGTTGTACCCAATGTGCAGCAGTACCGGGACCAGAGTGAATAGGGTGTGTATGGGGAGCATGAGTGGGTGTCCAGTGTGCATTTTTGTAAGTCTTGGGTTGTATGTGCATGTGTGAGCATGAGGGAGGGAGTGTGTGACTGTGTTTGTGTATGACTGTAGATGTCAGGTGGGACCTTTGACTCCTCCCCTCTCCTGGAACTTCTTTTGATGATATAGATCTTCGTCCCCCCTCCCCCTGCCACACCTGGTGTGGGGGGTTGTGCCTTGGTCTGCCTGACTGTTCGTGGCAACCGGGTCTGGGGGTTTAAGATTTTGGCATCTGCCTGATAGATCCCGGTGGCTGCCTGGTGGGGTCTGGGTCCCTGGGCTCTGCTGGGTCCTCGGCAGGGGTGGTCGCCCCTGGGTCCTGGGTCGCTGGGTCCCGGGCTCGGCCGGCTAGGGGGTGGGAGGCTGCGGGCGGGCCTGTGGGCTTGCCGCTGATGTCTCCTGGGACTCTGCCGACTGCTGGTTGTGGCCCTCCGGGGCGATCCTCTGTGCCTCTTGAGTGGGGCGGGGGCCTTTCTGGTTGCAGTCTCCTTGGGGTTCCTGTGTTCTGGGGCAGCGCCTGGATCTCTGGGACTTGGAGCTCCCCCCGTCTCCTGCGCATCTTTGGGGGGCGAATCTGTGGTCCCTCACACTCTCTGTTGGACGCTCCTATAGATAAACCTTACATAAACAAGCGCGTGTACACACAGGTGCTCACATGGTGCTCTCAAAAGTATGGGCTTGGGCACGTTAAACACAGGTCTTAAGACTATGGTGGGCACTTAATGCACTGTGATTTATTATCGTGATTCTTCAGTTAAGCAATGTTGATTATATATTTTTTCATCAAGTTGACGCAGTGATAGCTAGATCTTGTTGTATTGTTGTTGTCCCTTTTTTGTCCTTTTGCTTTTTTTTGTTTTTTCTGCAGGTCTAGAAGCAGACTCTTGTTCGTTGTTTATTTTTGTGGACCCCCCCTCCTCTCTCCCCACCTTTTCTTTTCCTTTCTCTTTCACCTCTGTCTCCATGTCTGTCGGAATTACAAAGCATTCAACAACAATAACAATAAAGTTTTAAGTATCAGGCGTGACATTAAAAGCAGACGCTTGGATGCTCCACCTGAGAGTAAATCTGTAAGGCTTGTCACCACCATTCAGACATCAATTCTGCTTGCTTCACAGCCAGACAGGACACATAAAAATAAATAAAAGAAAAGAAAAGATTAAAGTCCTCTCAGATACTCAGTCTGGATTTCTCAAAGGCCGCTCTATTCACAATAATATTTGTCTTGTGTTGGACTTAATCGACTATAACTACCTAATTCAGAAAGAAGGTATCATTCTTAGACGTTTACAAAGCATTTGATATGAACAAACATGAATTTATGTTCCAAACACTTAAACTCTCTGGTTTTGAAAATAACTTCATTAATGTAATGAAATTTTAATGCAAAGATACAAACAGCTCAGAATGTCTTCCTTACGGCTCGTCACAAAGATTCAGTATTAATAACGGCATAAAACAAGGATGTCCAATTTCCCTTTACTTTTCATATAGCAACGGAAATGCTTGCCATTCTTATTAAAGCTGCAGATTTTGGTAAATTAACTGTTTCAGGCACTCAAGGACTTTCAAATGCTTCTTACGGAGCCACTCCTTTGTTGCCCGGGCGGTGTGTTTGGGATCATTGTCGTGTTGGAAGACCCAGCCACGTTTCATCTTCAAAGCTCTCACTGATGGAAGGAGGTTTTGGCTCAGAATCTCACGATACATGGCCCCATTCATTCTGTCCTTAACACGGGTCAGTCGTCCTGTCCCCTTAGCAGAAAAACAGCCCCAAAGCATGCTGTTCCCACCCCCATGCTTCACTGTAGGTATGGTGTTCTTGGGATGCAACTCAGTATTCTTCTTCCTGCAAACACGACAAGTTGAGTTTATACCAAAAAGTTCTACTTTGGTTTCATCTGACCACATGACATTCTCCCAATCCTCTGCTGTATCATCCATGTGCTCTCTGGCAAACTTCAGACGGGCCTGGACATGCACTGGCTTCAGCAGCGGAACACGTCTGGCACTGCAGGATCTGATTCCCTGCCGTTGTAGTGTGTTACTGATGGTGACCTTTGTTACTGTGGTCCCAGCTCTCTGCAGGTCATTCACCAGGTCCCCCCGTGTGGTTCTGGGATTCTTGCTCACCGTTCTCATGATCATTTTGACCCCACGGGATGAGATCTTGCGTGGAGCCCCAGATCGAGGGAGATTATCAGTGGTCTTGTATGTCTCCCATTTTCTGATGATTGCTCCCACAGTTGATTTTTTCACACCAAGCTGCTTGCCTATTGTAGATTCACTCTTCCCATTCTGGTGCAGGTCTACAATTCTTTTCCTGGTGTCCTTCGAAAGCTCTTTGGTCTTGGCCATAGTGGAGTTTGGAGTCTGACTGTTTGAGGCTGTGGACAGGTGTCTTTTATACAGATAATGAGTTCAAACAGGTGCCCTTAATACAGGTAACGAGTGGAGGACAGAAAAGCTTCTTAAAGAAGATGTTACAGGTCTGTGAGAGCCAGAGATTTTCCTTGTTTGAAGTGACCAAATACTTATTTTCCACCCTGATTTACAAATAAATTCTTTAAAAATCCTGCCATGTGAATTCATGGATTTTTTTTCACATTCTGTCTCTCGCAGTTGAAGTGTACCTATGATGTAAATTACTGACTTCTGTCATCATTTTAAGTGGGAGAACTTGCACAATCGGTGGCTGACTAAATACTTTTTTGCCCCACTGTACATACATACACACACACACAAACTATCTGGCCTGGGGAGGGGGTTAAATTGCTGGGGTGCCCTTCCAATGCCCCCCTTTAGTTTGCATGTAGGATCGCCTCTGGTGAATAGGAGCGAGAGCTGGAAATGATGCCACAGCTCACCTGTATGAGCAGAAGCCAACTGTTGCTGTTGTTGTCTCTGAAAACGGCAAGGGGAGTTATCCTAGCTCAACTTTTCTAAACAAATATAAAAATTTATGAGTAAAACGTTTATTATTACAGGTGAATTTGAGTCGATGCCACATGAACAATGACCTGTAGAAACACTTTATCACTTTATCACAATAAACAGCTGCTAAAAGAGCTAAACTTAGTTGGAAACCGCACCTGTCTGAGAAAGTCTTGTCTCGCTTTTCTCACATCCGAGCGCTGATTCGGCCGCGGACGGTGAAGTGTGGCCCGGGGAAAGCCCGGCTGGAAATGTCGGAGGTAAACAAAACAAAATAAAAAGAATGAAAGTCGGATTTATGGATTAAACTCTGATGAAAGTACATAAATTATTTACTTGTCCCGCACGATAAGAAGGGAGAAGCGCTGCTGGTGGCGAAAGTGTGACTGTTCGGATGCATGGGGAACATTAAACTCCGCGAGCCTGGCGTCCGTCCATACGTACGATGATCCGCGCCGAGTATACATCCGCGCCTACCAGGTATCCATTCTCGCATTGTGAAAGTCATCATAGCTTACTTAGTATAGACCCAGATCCCAACCCAACTTTGAGAATAGATTAACGGCGTCATTTTTTTTATCGCGCGATAAGAGTCTGGCTTGGCCGCAGCGCGTTAACGCCGATAACGGCCCACCCCTAATATATATATATATATATATAGAGAGAGAGAGAGATATACATATATATATATATATATATATATACATACATACATACATACATATATATATGTATATATATATATATATATATATATATATATATATATATATATATATATATATAGAGAGAGAGAGAGAGAGAGAGAGAGATACATACATATATATATATATATATATATATATATATATATATATATATATATATATACATACATACATACATACATACATACATATATATATGTATGTATATATATATATATATATATATATATATATATATATATATATATATATATATATATATATATATATACATATGCGTATACATATATATAGGAGGAAAAGGAGGGAAAAGAAGGTGAAGCAGGGAAAGATGTATCCGTCTTAAGAAAACTAACTCCTTCAGCTCCGCCGGCTGAATGGATGCACCCGTTTAAACCTGGATAAGTCAGAGAAGTGGGTCTCAGATATGATGGAGGTGATTCACTCCCACCGCTTAATTGGCCAAGGATTAGACCAGCTGGCTCAAGCGAGCCTTCTCAAACCTCCCGTGACTGGACAACTGGCTGGAGACTTAAAACCCCAGTTTGACATTTTGGAAACTCCTAACTTAACCCAGTTAACAACTATTAAACAAAAGACCGATGAGTCCGTAGATGATTTCCGTGCCAGATATCAAAAACAATCTAAATTCCGTAGTACTCTCACACCCGACGCTGATAAAGATGGACCTTATGTCCGGCTGTTATGTGCTGATTTGTTGAAAGGTTTCCTGCCTGCAATTGCTGAAAAAAATCAAAACTCACTACATTCTCTGGGAAACCTGCAATGTTGAAGAATTGTTATACGCCAGATATGCAGAGAAGGTCATCCAGGGAAAAAATAAAAAGCCCCCCCCCCACACACACACACACACACAATCAGCCCCACAAAGCCCCTCTGACAAAAAGGGAGAAGCTATTTATTATCAGCAGGGAAATAAGAGGAAGAATTCTAAATGGAGGCAGAGGCAGTGGTACAATTCACAGACCCGATCACAGCAGCCCGTTTGCTGGATCTGTGAAGGTCAAGGTCACATCTCACGCGATTGCCCCTCCAATTAAACTAGATCCCTGAAATGTTTTGGTCTAAAGGCCCTTTGTGAACTCTATCTTTCCCGTGCAGATCTAACCAAACTCCCAGTTTAGGCCCAGAATTAAACAATTATTTAAACAATACCCTTTTCAGTGTTTCTGTTCATGCTGACTCACCATTTATTTTTGGTTTGCTTTCATCTACAAAATTTTAAGCTCAACTTACAAAATCCCACTATTACCCAAGCAATCAATAATTGTCTCGCTGACTTTCAATGTTCAGCCAATTCTCTAAAATCCTTGTTTACGTGGATGATGGTTTGATTGCATCTGACGGTGCAGAGTTTTGCCTCACAGACTCTCACGCCTTATTGCAATATCTTCACCTAACAGGGAAAAAAGTCAGTAAAAAGAATCTACAGTGGATAGAAATTCTCAGTCCGGCATTTGGGACACACGCAGTTATATATTTGGGACACACAGGTAAAGGCAGATCCAGTCAGGAAGACAGGAAACCATGTTGAATACCCTAACACCCCTGACTAAAGAGCAGATGATGCAGTTTTTAGATCTTGCTACTTAGTGCAGACAGTACATTCCCCGTAATGCAGAGATAACCCACCCCCTTTACACATTTCACCTTTCTGCTGGATTTACCCTAAGCTATAGAATTATAAGAAAGATCATTATAAAATTATAATTTTTATGTTCTAGATTGTTGTAAATAGCCTCACGAATAGCTTCTGCTCAATAAGATTGAAGAGCTGAAAAGAAAGTGCCTTACTGCCATTTTAAAATGACAAACTCTTTTACCCCTTTAACTGAACCAGCCTTTGTAAATTAATTTACAAAGGCCTTTGTAACTTTAATTTGATTTAAATAGGATGTATTCCTTCTAACACAACTCTGGTTTTACCAGACCCCGTTTCTTATG